AGAAGAAGAAAAATATCTCATAGATTTATTAATAGAGGAGTCATACAGCCATAATGATCAGAATGGAGTGCAGCCCCAGTACTAGTTCGCAAGAAGGATTGGAAGATCAGGTACTGCATTGATTACCGGAAATTAAATTCTATTACTCGAAAAGATGCATTTCCAATTCCAAGAACAGAGACCTGTATCGACACTCTGAGAGGTAGTAAATTTATGTCCTGTTTAGACATGGCGTCAGGATATTATCAAGCTGAGATACATGAGAACGATAGGTACAAGACAGCATTCATAACTAAATATGGACTTTTTGAGCACACAAGACTTAGTTTCGGATTATGTAATAGTCCTGCATTTTTTTCAGCGAATGATAGAATTAATTTTTACAGGTTTGACATGGAAAATATGCCTAGCATACATTGATGATGTTATTGTTCTGGGCAAAGATTTTGAAGACCATCTTGTAAATTTAAGAACTGTACTAGAAAGATTCAGGGAAAATAATCTGAAACTAAAGCCACAAAAATGCAAATTTTTCCAAAAAGAAGTTATTTTCTTGGGTAAACTTGTAAGTGAGAATAACTGTCAATCCTGCTAGTAGAGAAGTTATATTGAATTGGCCAGTTCCTCTGACGAAGAAAGCTGTTGAATCCTTCCTTGGGTTCGCCAACTATCATATTGAGCATATTAAAAGCTTTGCCACCCTTGCCGAGCCTCTGTATGCACTTACAAAGAAAAAAGTATTTTTTCAATGGGAAAAGCAACACCAGACAGCTTTTGAGTCATTACAACAGGCACTTGTCAACTCAGTTACATTAGCCTATCCAGAACCAAATGAAAAGTTCATTTTAGATACACATGCCTCACACACCACCATTGGAGAAGAATTATTACAAGTAATTGGTGGAAAAGAGTATGTAATATGTTATGCGAGTAGAGTATTGGCACCAGCCTAAAGGAGATATTGCACTACTAGAAAAGAACTGCTAGCGATTGTATTATTTACCAGACAATTCAGGAATTATTTATTAGGTCAACAATTCATCATAAGAACAGATCATAACAGTTTAACATGGCTACTCAGGTTTAAAATGATCGAAGGACAGCTAGCCAGATGGTTAGAGGAATTGTCTCAATATGACATGGTAATTCAGCGTAGGGCAGGGAAATTACACACCAATGCAGATGGGCTATCAAGAAGACCAGATGATTTGGACTCTTGTAATTGTTATTTTGCTGGTGCAGATATAAAGTTGCTACCTTGCGGCGGTTGCTCATATTGTACTCGAGCATAGAAAGTTTGAAGTTCCTTTGAAAATGATGTTGATTATGTAGTTCCATTGTCTTTAAGGAGTGTTTCAGAGCAAGTAGGAGATTTGGATGAAATCAATATAGATAGCTTAGTGTATTGCAATTGGATAAGTGAGTCTGAAATTCCCAATATGAGAACCGAACAAAGGAAAGGCCAGGAACGTAACAGATTAATAATATGGTTAGAGGATAAAAAAGAACCAGAGGAACATGAATTGTATTTATGTAGCCCTTCTATTAAACATTTATGGAATTGTAAGCATCAGTTAATACTTAAGGATGGTATATTATGCTATAAATGGTTAGATCCAGTTCATTCAAGACTGTTACTAGTTGTCCCGAGATCTTTGAGACACAAAATCTTGGAGAATTGTCATGACACTAAACTGTCAGGGCATTTTGGACAGGCAAAACTATTGAAAGATTAAAACAGAGCTACATTTGGTATGGATTACGTGAAGATGTTAGAAATTACGTGAAGTTTTGTCACACCTGTAATGTCAATAAAAAAGTTAACATCAAACCCAAGGGGCCTTTAGGTCAATTTCATGCAGGAATTCCTATGGAAAAATTGCACATGGACATTCTGGGACCATTACATGAAAGTTCGTCTGCTAACAAATATATATTAGTGTTAGTAGATCAATTTACAAAATGGATGGAAATGTTACCGTTACCTAATCAAAACACTATTACTGTGGCTAAAACATTACTAGATGGCTTCATTTCAAGATTGGGATGTCCAGTCCAAATTCACACATTTCAAGGGAAAAGTTTTGATGGTCATTTGTTTCATGATATTTGCAGACTGTTACAAATCGTCAAGACTAGGACCACTCCATATAGACCGTGTTATGATAGGATAAAACAATGTGACGACGAAATTGTTTCATTATGGATACAGAGACTTCGTAACCGTCTGTTTGGTCAGTGTGTTCCAGAAGAGAAAATTGACTCAAGAAAAGAAGAAAACGAGTTACCTGATGGTTGGTCAGATGTTTTATTTTCACTTCCGTATTCAAACTGTGACAGCAGTGCTGTTCAGTTGAATATGAATGCTGAAAATATTGTCAATCGTGACAGTAGAACTGTTGGATTGGATTTAGACAGTGAGAATGTTATTAATCATGATAGTTGTGATGATCCATTGGATTTGGCTAAAATGAGTAGTGGCAAAAGTGACAGCAGTGCTGTTCTCTTGTCCTCTAATGAGAATACTTTAAAAGTGCCTGATAATACTGAAACATCAGGTAGAGGAAAAAGAAAAAGGGTTCTGCCCAGCTATTCTTTTTGTCAGATTATGTTGTGGATGTAGTTAGCGAAGAGACTTGAGTGATGATGTTAATCACAAATGTTTTTTAAATATTTTTTTTTTCTTTTAAATGTTTAATTGTGTAAAAATATTATAAATATTTATTTATTTCATGAATACACATAAAGGTAACAGTATTTGCTTATTTTCATAGCCTTATTAAATAATAATGAGTAGGGTCATTCAGTATATTCCAGACAGTGGTAAAACGAGCGAGGAAGAATTGGATTACGAGGAAGACCAGGACCATTTAAATGAAGCCAAAAGACAGGTAGCTATCAGAGGCGAGGCCAAGAATGTCCGCTTACGTCACAGAGAGTGTGATATTTGCTTTCACACCTTCAGTAATCCAAGGAGACATACCATACAAATCCATCTACCATGGTATGTGGCGCCAGAGACTGCCTGTTGGATTTGTGGCACTCAGGAACAGACAACAAATTTCCTGAGTAAGCACATAGCTCGCTGCCACTCCACCAATTCTGTCGATGCTACTTTTAAGAACAGGGAAGTGATGTACGCCGAACTGATGAACGGCCTTCTACGAGAGTTAGCTCCTGCACTAGGTACATCCTTCCCTGTAGGCCTTGAAGAGAAATTGAATGCCATTATGAGAATAAGAACATAGCTGCCGCCTACAGAATTCCATATCTCAAAATCTTAACTCGTTGATGCTTTTCTGAAATTGAATTGTTTGGAACCTGCTCTTAATTACAAAATTTCATCTACACCGTTTATGAAAATTCACCACATTTTACATTGGAAAATTCTTAAAAATCTAACTGGTTATTTAAATTCGGATGAACAACTTTGGCTTTTAAAATTTGAAGAAAGAAAAAACAAAGAAGGACTCCAAATTGGACAGTTGAGTATAAAGTTATCAGGACCACTGCAAGTTATTGACTCACACTTTCATCTAGATCAACTCTGTAGGCAGATGGGTAGTGGTGCTTTCCAGGATCTGGATGACCTTGGTTCTCAAAGCATGTTCAAGACAGAATTGAAATATGCTATTGCCAACATTGTGTTTCCTTCATCTTGGCCAAACTCCGCGCAGCGCAGCGAATTCAGAAAGGATAACCGGTTGAGATTCACCTTTGGCATTCATCTTAAAATTATAAGCTCATCTTCAACTTCATCTCTTGAACATAATTGGACTGACCTTCAAAATTTACTAAAATAAACAAAAACAGTGGCAGTTGGAGAGATTGGTCTAGATGATTCTACTAACCCTTCCAGAGAGATTTCGAACGACAGATAAAATATTTCAGGAAACAACTTTATTTGGCAACAGAACTAAATTTAACCGTAGTAATTCACTTAAGAGGAAAACCATCACTGCATGAACACGTTTTGGCCACACTAAGTGAAATCTGTAAGCCAGATCAATTAATTCATTGGCATTGTTTAACCTGTACCACTCAACTTTATTCAGCAGCCGTCAGCCAGTTTTCTAATATTGTTATTGGCATTACTCCATTTATTTTGATAGACCGGTATTTAAATATTGTAGAAATTGTGAAAACCTTTGGCATTACACGTTTAGTTTTGGAATCAGATGCTCAGTATATTCCTCTTCATTCTCACAATTTTGGAAATCCCTACTCAGTACATGCAGCGGCATTAAAAATGTCTGAAGTTTTACAGCAACCAATTGAAGAAGTCTTCAGGATTACTACTGAAAATTCTAAAAGAATCTACAAATTACAGTGAGATTCTAATATTTGTGACTTTATATATATGTACATATTTTTTATGTGGGTTAATAATATTACCTCTTTAAAAGGATTTAAAGAGTGCGTGCTTGATTGACATTTATAGCAGAGATTTGGTGAATTTATCTATATATGTAAATAACTATATTGGTGGAAGGAATTAGATAGGATGATAAAATTCTAGTGTGCGACAGCTGTGTTGTCCACTTACAGTTTTGTGTAAGGAAGGAGATTGGATTGTGAAGGAATGTTCAGAGTAATTGTATGTTATGCGAAATTCTAATGTGCGACAGCTGTGCTGTCCATTTAGAGTTTTGTGTAAGGAAGGAGATCGGAATTATGAAGGAACGTTCAAAGTCACTCTATGTTATTCCGATAAGTTTTTAACAATTTAGAGTTTTGTGTAAGGAAGGAGATCGGAATTGTGAAGGAACGTTCAAAGTCACTCTATGTTATTCCGATAAGTTTTTAACAACATTTTATTACATGTGGATTGGATTTTAAAAATATGGATATTTGCAATAACGTGTTACGTCTATTAAAACATGGATACAAATGGAAATTCTGCAAAGAGGAATATTAGTGAAACTGCCTTCACAACAATGTAGTGAATTTCAGAGGTGTTCCTACTCTCAGGAGAAGTATATCTCCTTAGCCGGAAGTGCTGTCTTCTAATTCGGGGCTTCCTTGCGTTCTAACCCATGGTCTATGTCGGATGTGTGTTACACAGCTCCTACTCAAAGCATACATATTTACTAGAAACCACGCTAATCTGACAGTAACTGTTATTGTTGGTAAGTTATTAGCATGCCCACACAAACACTTCAATATAATACATATATCTCTGATAATAGTCACAATATTTGCGATACATATCATCGTTTCAAAACATTTATTGTTAAAAGTTAGTTAAAATATGAAAAATAGTTATAGTACAGTTTAGTTGCATTTTTCAAAAGTTAAATGGACATGTATAAAATTGATAGAACAGGGACACATTTAGTCAGTGGGGTTTATGATGTAAGCAAACATTTCATTCAGAATATTATACCTATAAACCACGTGCTGTAAACACACTTCAGGAATGACCTTGTACACAAACCCCATTACACATGTTACTTTAAGTGTTTTGGAGAGGTTATAAGTTTAAATAAGTGTAATATAGTGGTTCCTTCAAAGATTCAAAATTTAAGTACCGACGTTTATTGCTATCTCTATAATACATTTATGAGTCGAAGTGAAAATAAATTTGTAAAAAGAAATAAAAATAAAAATATTGAGCATCCATTTGAAGCAATGAAATCATATCAAGACATGTAGTTGAAATTAATTCTAAAATCTGTCACAGTCTAATGCTACATGTAACGTGAGGGCACCCAAGTTGCACCTATTTTGACAGTTTTGTCACCTACTTTTATTTATGATCCAGACAAAAGATTCCATTTTGTGCTTATTTTGTAGATGTATCCTAATTTACTATATAGTTAAATTTCACCAATTTAATTTTGCATCCATATTGAATCATAGAAAAATGGGTTTGAACCGACCTCCAAACAATCCATGATTCTGTAATGGGGAGTTCCCAAATTGCATCCATACTTAAATTCACATCCGTAAAACTAATTTCAATAACTGATGTTTAAATTTGTTTTATTTCTTCAAATATTTACAATTTGACAGTAGTCCATGCTTACTATTAAGCTAAGAAATGGACGCCTGTAACACGTATTTTAATTGCTCATTTTTAAAAGTTGACTTTATGAGGACGTCGCATGGCGACGTTTCCATAGATTTTACTTTTTTTCCGGTGAAAACTTCATCTGTTGATATATACTGTGAACGTCTTGTGAATATTTAAATATAGTCAAATTATAAAAACACAAATGTTTTGTCTCTAAGAAAACTTGTATGATTTCCGCTGCTATTTTTGTGCTAAATGGGTGCATTTTGGGTACTCAGTGCAATTTGGGTACTGTGACGTTATGCATAAAAATCAAATCTCAGATTTTTTAACTGTATGTTGTATAAAAATAAAAGTTAAAAATCTCATTGCATATAAATTTGATAAAACATTAATTTATACAATTTTACAAAATCCAACACATAGCTTTAAAATCAAAAATGTTTAAATTATATTTGATTTTTGAATAAAAGTCAGTTTTTTTACTGCATGTCTGCAGAGACATTTTATTATTTGCCTGATATCTGTGAACAAAATCGTTTTCTTTACAGGCAAAATTGGCTTCCACTTACATAGAGCCGGCAAAATAGCATATTTTCTATTTTGCCGGTGCCGGCAAAATAACCACTGCCTTTTGTCAAACCAGAGAAGTATTATAATGTATAAATATGTATGTAGTCAAACTTTCAAAGGATTTTATGAAACTTGGATGGAAGCTTTTCTATGATTAAAGAATAATATCTGAAGTTATATACTGAAAAAAAAAATTCCTTTCTTTTCTTCCGTTTTACAGTAAGCAATTGCACACAGTCGGCTTATTTGTTTATACGTCAATAACTTTTTGGCAATCAACATTACACTATTTCACTGACAGCAATTATCGTAGGGAAGATAAAGAAATTTTTGTGTTTGTGTCTATTACAAAAAAAAAACAAAACAAAAAATACCTATTTAGTGTAAAGTCATAACGTTTTCTTATACAGTGTAAAGTCATAACGTTTTCTTATAGTGTAAAGTCATAACGTTTTCTTATACAGTGTAAAGTCATAACGTTTTCTTCTCGATAATATCCTGCTTCCCACCTGCACAGATGAACACTTCCATTTGTTTTTTACCCCTTAAAGACTTGGAGTAAGCCTTCTTGCATGTTTTTGTCAATTTTTGTATTATCTGTAATAATTCAGTGCGGAAGATAAAATGGAAAGATGATTACTGACATATTATAATAAAACCTAATTAAAATATAGATCTTTGAATTCGTTATTCTCATACGAGCACGCGAGTTAATATAGATATAAATTTTAATCAGGTTGAATATAATATAATTTCAAACTGCTCATGCCATAACTGGTCAGAATATAATTTGGCACATTTAGAACGTGTGTGGCATAAGTTGCTACTGCAACCGCTTCAAAACTAAAACTTCAAGGCTATTGTTTTTATATGCAAAAAAGAAATTCCACATACCTACATCATTTATGAAGGAGAAGGTTAAGGAAAATTTTTATACTGTTTACCAAAACTTCACAACTTCCCTTTAAAACACGAGAAAAGTCGAGTCTAGATGTTGGACTAAACATATTTCTAAAGTTCTTACTATATCATTCTTTTCTACACTGAACGATAGTTTTCAAAATTAGTGTAATGAAGTATACTCAACCTGTTGTCTTAATCAGATGTTGATTCTCAAAAAGTCTGAAGATCTACTAAAAAACTCACAAGCATTACAATTTTGCAGTTATATCAAAACTGATATGATTTTTCTACGCTTTTCAATATTATTCCCTATGCTCAATTAAAGATTAACTACATCCCCTTACTGAACAGTGGTTTTTTTACAAAAGATTTTTATACAGAAGTGAAAATCATAGATACAAATTCCTTTGTTTCAGGTCATTATTTTATAAAGAACCATACCAAATACAAATACACCGATATTTTGATCGACAGTTTTTTGTTTGTTCAAAGGATTGATATTTCAACAAACAGTCGGTATTCCCATTAGTACTTATTGTGTTTCCCTTCTAGCCGACTGACTTGTTTTTGTACTCATATTAAGCAGAATTATTCAAAACCGTCTAAAACACAGAGAAATCAGAATCTTACCAGATTCTTTAATTTTATTTTTGATATAATCAGCATGTCATGTCCCTCAAAAATCAACATTTCAATGAGTGGATGTATCTCATACATATCATACCCCTTAAAAATCAACATTTCAATGAGTGGTTGTATCTCATACATATCATAACCCTCAAAAATCCACATTTCAATGAGTGGTTGTATCTCATACATATCATAACCCTCAAAAATCTACATTTCAATAAGTGGTTGTATCTCATACATATCATAACCCTCAAAAATCAACATTTCAATGAGTGGTTATATCTCATACATCATAACCCTCAAACATCCACATTTCAATGAGTGGTTGTATCTCATACATCTCATAACCCTCAAAAATGAACATTTCAATGAGTGGTTGTATCTCATACATATCATAACCCTCAAAAATCAACATTTCAATGAGTGCTTGTATCTCATGCATATCATAACCCTCAAAAATCAACATTTCAATGAGTGGTTGTATCTCATGCATATCATAACCCTCAAACATCAACATTTCAATGAGTGGTTGTATCTCATACATATCATAACCCTCAAAAATCAACATTTCAATGAGTGGTTGTATCTCATACATATCATAACCCTCAAAAATCCACATTTCAATGAGTGGTTGTATCTCATACACATCATAACCCTCAAAAATCCACATTTCAATGAGTGGTTGTATCTCATACATCATAACCCTCAAAAATCAACATTTCAATGAGAGGTTGTATCTCATACACATCATAACCCTCAAAAATCCACATTTCAATGAGTAATTTTATTTCATACACCTCAAAAATCCACATTTCAATGAGTGGTTGTATCTCATACATATCATAACCCTCAAAGATCCACATTTCAATGAGTGGTTGTATCTCATACATATCATAACCCTCAAAAATCCACATTTCAATGAATGGTTGTATCTCATACATATCATAACCCTCAAATTCAACATTTCAATGAGTGGTTGTATCTAATACATAACATAACCCTCAAAAATCAACATTTCAATGAGTGGTTGTATCTCATACATATCATAACCCTCAAAAATCAACATTTCAATGAGTGGTTGTATCTCATACATATCATAACCCTCAAAAATCAACATTTCAATGAGTGGTTATATCTCATACATCATAACCCTCAAACATCCACATTTCAATGAGTGGTTGTATCTCATACATCTCATAACCCTCAAAAATCAACATTTCAATGAGTGGTTGTATCTCATACATATCATAACCCTCAAAAATCAACATTTCAATGAGTGGTTGTATCTCATGCATATCATAACCCTCAAAAATCAACATTTCAATGAGTGGTTGTATCTCATGCATATCATAACCCTCAAACATCAACATTTCAATGAGTGGTTGTATCTCATACATATCATAACCCTCAAAAATCCACATTTCAATGAGTGGTTGTATCTCATACATCATAACCTTCAAAAATCAACATTTCAATGAGAGGTTGTATCTCATACACATCATAACCCTCAAAAATCCACATTTCAATGAGTGGTTTTATCTCATACACCTCAAAAATCCACATTTCAATGAGTGGTTGTATCTCATACATATCATAACCCTCAAAGATCAACATTTCAATGAGTGGTTGTATCTCATACATATCATAACCCTCAAAAATCAACATTTCAATGAATGGTTGTATCTCATACATATCATAACCCTCAAATTCAACATTTCAATGAGTGGTTGTATCTCATACACATCATAACCCTAAAATTCAACATTTCAATGAGTGGTTGTATCTCATACATATCATAACCCTCAAAAATCAACATTTCAATGAATGGTTGTATCTCATACATATCATAACCCTCAAATTCAACATTTCAATGAGTGGTTGTATCTAATACATAACATAACCCTCAAAAATCCACATTTCAATGAGTGGTTGTATCTCATACACATCATAACCCTCAAAAATCAACATTTCAATGAGTGGTTGTATCTAATACACATCATAACCCTC